TATATATAAATATATATATATTATCATATGATGATTAAGAGGTTTGATTGTAATAAGAAAATTATGATTCCTCTAAAACTTTTAATAATTAAAGTAGTATTGAATTTAAATAGTATGTTTGAAGTAAGAAAAAAAATCATGATACTTCAATGATGAAAGATAAATATTTTTAATTTTAAACTAGTGAATTAAATTTCATTATAATTGTTTATTCATTTGAATTTATTATAAAAGTATATTTATTAATACTTAAAATTGTATTGATTTAAATATTATGTTTATATTAAAGATAATTTCATGATACTCTAAAGAGGAAAGATATATTATTTATATTTAAAATAGTTTTAATTTTATCAAAGAAATGTTTTAAATTTTATTATAATTCTATATTCATTGATATTATAAGTTTTAATTGGATTAGTGAGCCATTAAATTATCTAAATGTTCGTCAATGATTTTATTTTAAGTGAATTTAACTAAATTATTTGTTTATCTTTTGTTGTTAGAGAAAGTTCAGTTTGGGAAGGAATGAAAGCGAAGCAAATGTTTCACTTTTTTGCTGGTAAATAGTTTGATTAATTATTTTCTTAATTCTAATTTTTGTTGAGCACTTTCATAATATGCTTGAAAACTATATTAATTAAATATATTTATTATTGGTCATGATACAAAATCAGATATATTTGCAGTTAAAATTTAGTTTGGCAAATAATTTGAATGATGTAAATGACTATTAATCTTCAAATAGCATTGGAGCCACTCTTTTGATTTTCTATAGAGTGCAAACATATAGTTGGTGTGTAGTCTCCTTCTTGATCACTAGGGAGAAGGGGAAAGATAATTTATCGCAATTGTTGGCCTCATCCTGGTAGATGCTATTTTTTGTTTAGCATTTTGAATTTTTGTATTAACATATCACTTCACTGTCAAATTTTTTGTTGGGGACTAAATGATGATAATTCACAAAGACCACCTATAATTGAGTGTCTACTGCTTAAAGGTGGTTAGTAGCATGTAAGAAGATATATTACACTTAGACTTCCAACGAAGCGCCAATCTAAGGACTATTGAAGTGATAGAAGAAGTACTGAATGCTAAGAAGAAAATCAAGTAGAACTTTTAGCCTGAGCGGTACCTTTAGAGGTGAACACAAAGGAGAGTTGACTGCAACATCAAGAGAATATGTAGAGGTATCCCCTTTAGAGGTGAACACAAAGGAGAGTTGACTGCAAGAGAATATGTAGAGGTATCGGTATCCGCCTGGTCAGCAGAAAAGATGCCTAGAATAGACTTGGACACTACTTACCAACAATCCTATAGCCTGACCAATCAAGTAAGAAATGATGCTAGTCGGTACAATGCAAGCATTGCCCATATCTGAGTTTCCTTTTCTCACCTCCGACCAAATTTAGTTAATCCTCATGTTCTTCACGTTGTTGCCTCTCTGGTTGGTCGCCCTCTACAGTTTAATCATGCAATTGCTTCTCTTTGTAGACCCTCGATGGCCAGAGTTCTTGTTGAGGTTGAAATTTCTAACAAAACTAGTTGATGAAATCTGGATTGGTTTTGAAAAAAATGGTTTTACCAAAAAGTGGTTCATGAGAAAATTCCTCAATTTTGCACTCACTGTAAGGTTCATGGTCATGGTATTGATGAATATTTTTCTTTACATCCTCATATGGAACAACAATCGGGTCCTTCTTTGGATTATCATTCTCAGAATGGGTATGATGCTCCTTTGGCTATAAATAACTTATTACAGAATGAGGATGTGGTGGATTCTCATATCCCCTTTAAAATTGGGTTGATATTTCCTATTGATGGATACAAATGAAATGAAGGTTTCATCCTCTCCTGTCGGTGAGAGAGCGACCGATGCTCCTACGGGTCCTCATCCTACAACTTTAAATATTGAACATTGAGATAATGTGGCTGGTACTCTTTTGGTTGTGGAAAACTTGGGGTATACACCATCTGCCCTTAAGCCCTGAAATTGTGGTAATATGTTTCTTTCTGCTTCTGCTCCTAACACTATCTTTCGGATCATAATAATATGGATTTGTCCTTCTCGAATAGGGAAGAAGGAGAATTGGCGCCTTCTTTTTCTAATGTGCATCAAACTAAACTTATTTCCCCCCGCAATCTTGATAACCATTTTGAAGATGTTCAAGGTTTTCGTGTTATATCCAAGAAAATGGAAGAAATAGCAAGTCCAATACATTAACCCCTTCAAGGGTTACTCTTCAATCAACCAACTCTCTTTCTATATCTTTTTAATGTTTAAAGCTCTTTATTGGAATATCAAGGGCAATGGTTCTATCACCTCTCAAGAGATTGTCAAAAATTTATGTAGAATGTTTTACTTTTCTGTGGTTTCTATTTTTGAACCTATGATTGCTAGTAGTAATCTACAAAGAATGGCTTTGCTTTTGGGTTTTAGTTATGCTTATGCAAATTATTCTAACAAACTTTGGTTTTCTTGTCAGGAAAAAATCAATTTTTGCGAACTAAACCTGTCTTTGCAGATTCTATCTACTTTTATTTTTTTATTTATGTTATTTGTTGTCTTTATACACAGCTCCATCTATGGCAAATTATATGGGTTATCTCTATTAATCATAACGCTCCTCAGTGTGTTAGAGGTGATTTTAATTGTATTTATTCCCCGTCTAAAAGGCTGGTGAAAATGTTCCTTCTATTCGTTCAATGGAAAACTTTAATGATATCATCCTTAACTGTAACCTTGTTGACATTGGTTTTACAGGTTCTTCTTTCACCCGATCTAATAAAAGGTTATGAGAAGGGCTTGACCCGTTTCTTTTCAATGACCACTTGTTAATAACTTCTCCACCACTCACATTGAACATCTCAATAGGTCCCATCCGATCATTCACCATTGCTTCTTTCATCAGGTCAATCGTCAAATCCATGTTGCATTCATTTCCAAAATATGTGATCTTACTTTCTGAATTGTCTTAACCTAATTTTGCAGAATTGAATGCTGTTCTAGTTTCATCTAACGATATTGACATTTTTCTGATACTAGGATCTAAATTGAAATGTCAAACATTTTTAAAAATTGGTGGAACAGAAATCATTTCAAAAATCTATTTGACAGCATTCGTGAGGGCTGAGTCTGTGCTCATTAATCTCAAATTATTATTATTATTTTTATTATTATTGAGAAAGCTATTAAAAAGCACATTATTATAAAAGTTTTGATATTACAAAAATTAATTAAATATAATTTTTTTCTCTCCATAATAATTAGATATTATCCGAATCCACTTCTGAATTGAAAAACTTAAAAAAAATGAGGTTGAAAATGGATGATTAAAGCTTTTCCACCCACCATGCCCACACATAAGAAGGCAATAAATAGAGTCATAAAAAGTGATCAGATGTCAGAACTAATATAAATGAGTGCTCTTTGTCAAAAAAATATATATTTCAATTTTTAATTTAATTAAAAAATAAAAAATTGTCAAAATAAACCTCCATTTTTTTACATTCCAACAAAATTTTAATTTTTTTTTTAATGAGACTTAACATAAATCACTTTTGAAATTATATCAACCCATATAATAGACTCTAGAACTAAATAGAATGAATTAGAAGACTATTTTGATATTTTATTCTTTTTTTTTTTTTTTGATAAAGTGTCAAATTAGCAGCCGGTTATTTATATGTTATCATTTTAATCTCGACTATTGTCAAATTAGCACATGAAATTCTTTAAATTAAAGCTGAAATAATCCTTTAAGGACTATAAGGACTTTTTCAGTCGCAATTTAAGGAATTTAGGATTATTTCATCACTTCTATAAATTGAGATTATATAAATAGTTGATGACTATTTTAATTGTAAAATTTATTAAGCACTCTTAATACCATATATGTGCTAAAAAAGAACAAAGATTAAGAAAAAAAAACCTTTTCTTTTTCCTAAAAAGAAAAGATTAAGAGAAATTGGGGATGATTGTTAATAGATTAAAAAAACTATATCATCTCATGTCCAAATAAATCTATTATTTTTATATGAATCTCATTAACAGTTTGATAAGAAAATTTTTCCAAATTTTTTTTTTTCAAATAAAAAGTTCAAATATCAGTATTTGTATTTCTTCAAATTAGTACCCTCTATCAAAATACAAGAGTACTTTTTTCATCATGCCCTCTATCAGGAAAAAAATTTGCGTCCGTAATGCGTATATTTGTAACCTATAAATAGGTTACAGGAAGGGTATTGGAGAGTTATAACCGTATTATACCCCTTGTAACATCCATGTAAGCGCAGAACTTACTAGAAGGTACATGTAGGTTACAGAGAGGTTAGGGTATAACACGGTTATAACCTCTCAATATCCTCTATATAATATATTTATAATTATAAATAAACGCAAAATGTACGCAAATTTTTTACCTCTATGAGTGGTGCATCATGAGTTGCAGAACAGAAACCTGCTAAAATAAAAATAAGATTTTTATTTCTATAACGAAGTCAAGACGAAGAAAAAGAACCATTCATCACATTTCCATCAACATCGCCGCTCATTCCATTACCCTCAACCATCCGCCCACCTCCGCCACCCCCATCGCCCGCGACATTACTCCTCCCCTCCCCTCTCCTCAAAACCCTAAGCAACTGATACTTATTATTATGCATCCATACCTTAAAAACCCCTTTCTCCACCCCAATATCTCTGCAATACTCCTCCACCAAACCCTCATCCCTCTTCTGCAACCTCCACCCAAGCCTCTCCGACAGCTCCATCATTTTGCCCTTTTGCTCCGCGCTAAATTTCGACCTAAATCGCTTTCTCGTCGCCGACGGCCTTTCGTTGCGGCTGAGAGCGAGCAGCGTGTGAGGCGCCGAGGTGAAGCATTCGATTTCTTCTTCGGAAGAAGATACCGAAACCCGGCGGTGAAAGTTGCGGTGGCAGCTACAGGCGGCGCATTTGAGGGAGGTGGGATCAGCGAGGGTTGCGGCTGGTGACGGCATGAATTCGCAGCAGCCATCGAGGGCGTGGCCGCCGAGGTTTGCGGCGTGGTTCTTGAGGCATTCGCGGTGGAGGATGGTCAGCTCGAGTTCGGCTCGCTATATATATATATATATATATATATATAACTTTTTTCTCAAAACAACTTCAATTCTATAAATTTCTTTAAGGAATTCCTAAAAAGAAATAGCCCAACTCCTATGCACGCCACCAAAGCTCCCACATTTACCAGCCAACTATTGCCTTTCTTTACCGTTCTATCTCCTTGTTCATTCATTTTTTTCCTTAACATGACCCGAACCTTAAAATTTTTGCTTATCTTCTTCTTTATTTATTTCCTCTGTCTCATCTTCCTCAATTATTATAGACAACTTTGGATAAAATCGCTTCCTCCTCGGTTTTACCGGCTCGGCTCTCTCATAATAATCCTTGCTTTGTAACTACACTTACCTCAGCCCATTCCACCATATCAATTTCCTTGCACTTAAGTTGTCATCTCGCACCTCGTCAAAAAATCCCTTAGAGCTTTTTCTCTCCACGGATCCAAACCTCAAAGCAAAGATTGTTGCAAACACAAACTTGATATGTACTTTCAAACATTGCCGCTAATTCGTCACCAACTCTTGTCGATCGGACGCGGCGAAGAACGATGCGAGCCTGCTTTTTGGTAAAAATGTTGACGTCATTAATTTTCAGTGAAGTTTCATCGTTTATAGGAATGTAGACCAAAGTTACTTTGTGTGGGAGACGAGCTCGTTGATTTGGAGGTTTGGCTAAATTGAACCTAAAAGATTGTAGTTGAAGAAAAATTTGATTCACCCGAAAACTCGATAACCTATTTATTTTGTCAATTTTTTACCCCTAATTTGTTTTTTTTCTTTTGAAGTATCCTTTTTTTGGAGTTTATGATAACATCTCTCACGATTTATTTAGAGAAAGTTGCTTAGAGAGGGATAGAGGGAGAGATTTAAGGTTGAGATAAGAGAACTTTTGAGTTTATCCCTAATAACTTGAAATTTTTTTTATATGTGGAAGTTTTTAATTAGCATTGACATCCTAGCAAACTAGTAAACATAATGACGACTAGAATAACTTTTGCCAGCATTCCACTTCATGAGGCCTATATTTTGGAGTAAGTTTGGTCCATTCAATTCAAAATTTTAACTAGAAAGTTCAAGCTTTATTCTTATTTTTATTTTGTTTTTTTTTTAAATTACTAAAATAAGGAAGATTTACATGTTTATCATAAAACTTTCAAGTATTTACATATCTAATACCAAACCCTTACTATATATATATATATATATATAATTCATCAGTAGCATATTTAAAAAATTTAATTGACTATAAGGCTATAAAGATTTATAATCAATTATAAATTTTAATTAAGACAATAAAATAAAAATTATTAAATTAGATTCAAATGATGTTTTAATATAAACATTAATTTTTAAATCTTTTCCCAACCCTTAATATCTTATGGCTACGTGATTAGTGTTGTCAAAATGATGACTCTTTGATCATGAACAGCTCTTGTTCGGTTTGCTAAGCAAACGAGCCGAACACAAACACATTTTTCGAGCTCGAAATATAAACGAACTGAGCCTGGGCTCGTTCGTGTACAACCAGTTTATACCTCTACTCAAAATAGTCTCGATAGTTATTTTCTTATTGATTAACTAGTTTTTTCTAAATAATAATATTAATAATAAACTATCACCTCACCTAAAAGTTTGTTGCATTTTTAATGATGATATTATCAATTAAAATATTTGGGTATTCATTTAATAAATAACAACAATAAATCTTATTTTTAATAAACTAATATGATAATTTATTTAATCTCATGATAAAATTGAAGGTTTTATTGAAAAAATAAAAAATTAAAATTGTTGATAAAAAATATTTTATTGTTATTAAGAATGAAACCATTTTATAAATGCCACTAAATCTTGCTTATTAACTAAGTAAATTTATTTTGTAATAATTTAATTACTGCAAATCAAATAACTGATAAAATTATGTTCCTGCCCTCACAATTTATTAATGAAATGGGTGATTTAACACATTATTAACATTGAATTATCAAATAAATAAAATAATAAAGTTAAAGAGATTTAGATATTAGCAATAAATACATTAATTTGATGCCAATGGTATAGTTAAATATGCTGAAAATCTTAGAAATTAAGGAATTGAACTTAATTTAAGTTCTTGGCAAAATTGTTTATTTTTTTTGTTAGATATTACTCAAATACCATATAAGGGACAGATGCTGGAGTAGAGTGAAACGGAGCAGAAGATTCTGTCCAAATCAGTGGAGTTTCCTTATGTGGGTTGGGGGTAAGGTACAGAGGTAATATGATAATTACATATTGTACGCAATGTTACATTTTTCTGTTCTTTCTAGGGTTATAAAATATGTCTATTTGTAACCCTACATAATTTTATTATGTATCCTGTACTTTTTTTATGGATAAGTGGAAAAATCGCCGCTCTGCTCCCGAGGACGTATGCATCTTTGTCGAACCTCATTAAATCCCTTTGTGTTCTTCTGGATTTGCGTCGATTCTTATTTTTCTTCGCCCTAATTCCTCAACATTTCTAATAAATAAAAATTATATATATTTTTTCAACCATAATAAGAGCTATCAATTTTAAATTTTTGATTAAATAAATCTTTCTTACTAAAATATTGAAAAAAGAAATAAAGCAAAGATGTCCTTTCAAATTTCCAACTTGGTTCCATAGAGCAAAAAAACTTTAAGCATTATTATTAAATTTATTATTCTGGCTAATGATAACATTGAAATAATTATTGCCCATAATATGCTTTGTTTTAAGTTGATCATTACTTGGTCTTGTAATTAAGAATATTCCATTAGTTATAATGCATAGTATCCTATGTTGAGTCTCTCTTTTGTTCTCTCAACACTAACTAATGTTGTATTTTAATTGAGAAAATAAAATAATTTAGAATACTTAGAAAAAATGAGAAATGATATAAGAATAAGTGGCTCGTGAACTGTATGCTCGATGAACGATAAGCCAAGCTAAGCTAGAGGTGAGTTGCAACTTCCGACAAAGTTGTCCACTGTTCCTTTAATTATTTATCTTGTGCTCCAAACTCCTCTCTAGATCGGTGCAACAACATAGAAATCTGCTCGGCGTGGCTATATCTCGGCATGACACCCATGTCACTCACTTGTTGTATGCTGACGATATCCTACTCTTTTTGGAAGCCTACATTGAAGCGGCCCGGAATCTCAAGGCTGCAGTTGATAATTAATGTGGTCGATATTTACATTTTTTTATTAATTAATTTTTTATTACTTATCTCATAAATATTTGTTATATGTGTCATTTCATTATAATATTTGCTTAAATTTATTTTTTTCTCTCACTTAGACTAAACAAACAGGCTTGTGAGCCAACTAGACCCGTAGAGTTAAGCTCGAGTTCGAGCTTGAAGTCGATTAATTAATCAAGCTTAAGCTCAAGTCCATCGTAGCTCGAGCTCAACACTACTCGACTCATTTTCACACTTATATAATAAGATGAATAGAAAGTGAGAAGACTAATTAAGAGCTTACTCTCTCTCTCTCTCTCTCTCTCTCTCTCTCTCTATCCAGAAGAATTAGTAGAATATTTCATAATTTTATGTTGTAACATGTTCCTATTCCTCCAAAACCTTTTTTTTTTCTTCCCATACTTCCCAATCAAATAGAGGAATTAATTTTTCACAAAGAAAGTTAAAAAAAATAAAAATAATAGAAAAAAGCTATGGTAGCATGAAGAATGTATTAATAATTTTGCATATTTAAGGTTCTCAAGTAAATATAATATATTACATCATTATGTTGAAGTGCGTAAATTACAAATTACATTGTAAATTACAAATTACAAATTATAAATCTAGAATACCAAAATATAAAATAATCATTGTAAATTTATTAATGTTCATAATCATTTTAGATCAGCTTTGCTTCCTCTTTATTTACATTTATAGTGCGTTTGGGGCAACTTGTGCTTATATAGATAAGCAGCACATCAAAAAACGTGGTCTGCGGCGTTCAACTCTCGGTCTGAGTTTAGTGTAAAAACTCAACCGCATTTTCGTATAAGCTGAAGAAAAGCGCAATCCAAACGATATGGGGGCATTTTGAAAATACCGCCCGCACTTATAAGCTGCCTCAAACGGACCCTTTATCTCGTTCTGCTAATTTTGGCAAAAGAAAATTAATGAAAGGTCAAATTTGTTTATTCTTGTTAAAAATCTTATTTTTACCTCAATGTGTAATCTATATAATAGAAAAGCTTAATTCACAAGTGATTACTTTTCATAAGTCCATCAATCTATAAGGGGCTTTTTTTTTGTTAAAGCCCAAGTTCAGCCAGTGATCAGTTAAGGGCCCAATTATCTTGGTTTATATACTATTTAAGAGCAAAAACATTATAAATTAAGAATTCATTGCAAATATAATTATTTATAGTTTAAAATTACACTCAAAATAAATTATGTAATAATTTAAATTATTGTTCATTACTAATTCAATTTTATTTAAAAGCTAATAATTACACAGCTTTTGCAATGTATGTCATAATTTCATTTCGAATTTTTACGAACCACCACCCAATAACATTCAATATAATATTTTAATCACTCAAATTCTAAATATAGCATTTTAGCCGCTCAAAGCTTTCACTTGTGTGTAAAAGAGGAAGATTGAAATGAAAAAAATAGTTAAAATGTTATATTTAAAGTTTGGATGATTAAAATGTTATATTCAGTATTTTGGGTGGTTGGTATATACAAACCCCCTTTAAGTTTTTGTGTAAGTTCTTTTTTTTTTTTGAAGATTAAACTTTGATCGATTATGATTTGGCTAAGTAGAATGAGATTTTAAGAGTTCTTTCGTTTCAATATATCATATTTCATCATTTTTAATCTGCATAAATGTAAAATAATTGTGTTGCCTAATTTAGAGGTCAAAATAATCATCTAAAATTATTAGATATATGATGGTTGAGTGTAAGAGAATTCGCAGTGGTGTTAGTGTTAATATAACATCACAGAAGGAGACAACAAGATTCTTTATTGGAAAACCCATAGAAAGAAAAATATCCCAAAGGCTTAGCCCAATTGTAATAATCCACTATGTTATTAGAAGTATAAATGACTACTTTTCATTTGAAGGAAGATGGGAATATAAGAAAAAGTTGAAATCATAACTGTTTTGAAATAGCTCAGCATTTATAATTGTTAATATAATTAAGACTATAATTGTTGTAGTCTAAGTACAATAGTAGTGGTGCGACTATTATAGTCGGGTATAAAAGTCGTAGTTGATGGCTATAAAAACTATAGTGGAGCTACAAATCAATAGTTGAAGGCTATAACAACCGTAGTTGGCTACATAAGTCATAGTTGCAGAAGGTTATAATAGTAGCATTAGGACTATCAAGGTTGTAGTTGGTCGTGGTCGACAACTGCTGATGATCGACAATGACCTTGATGATCGACAATGACCTTGAGTTGTCAATCTTTATAATGTTCGGTCATGATCTTGGTTGATCGACAACAGCTGTCAGAACATTAAAAGTTAATCTTTAGTTGCAAGCAGACTCTTCTCTTCTCATCTCTCCTCAAAGTGAAGAATGAGAGCCTATTATAGTTTTTATGATGGGCATATTGGTAAATTTAACCAATCTGATAAAAAACTAATTAAACAAAGGATAACATCTTGACAAAATAAAATTATATTGGGTATCTTGCACTTGCAAGAGGCTCAAAATATATATTGAGCTGATCTGGCTGGTTGCACCCAAAAGAACTTGTGTAGCATCTTCAAAGAACATCAAACAACGTCATCCATAAGTCCGCTAGATTGAGAGCCATAACATCATCATCCATAAGCACATAAACAAAGTAGGTAGGAAAATTACATCCAACAATAGTAAAAACATTCCTAAAATAATGAGGTTATTAAAGCAACTTTAGAAATTTCATCTCCACATATATCTCTATAGCAAGGCAAAACATATGGCAAAGAACTTTAACCAAAACCTTATAAACTCCAAATGTTCTGAAACAAGAAAATAGCATTAATTTCTAACACCAAAAAAATAATAGATATCCACTAAGAAATAAGTGCAAGAAGCCACCAACATGGTATATCATAAGCAAACCCAAGAACAAAAAGGGAAAGCAATAACAAATGTCAGGTAGAAGTGGTTGACGAAATAAAATCCACATTGCAATATTCAATAGTTAAGCAGCTTCCATCTAGCTAAAATAACCATATGAAGCCATTATGATAAAAAAAAAAAAAAGGAAGTTCTGAATATGTTGATACAATTAATAGAGAGAAAGTAAGAAAATTTTAGCATGAGTATGTTCCATATCAACATCAAATTGCATAAGCTAAAGAGTGAAGCTAAGAAGGAAAAATGAAGTCCAAGGGAAGGGAACATTTAAGAACATAAGTCGAGTAATAGTAATACTCTAAATTAATAATATTTCTTTTAACAAGAATACCCAGTGTTTTAAGTATAGCTGTAAACGAGCTCAAAAAGTGTGTTCGTATTCAGCTTGTTTGCTTGGCGAGCCGAACACAAGTCGTTCACGAATAAAGAGTCATTTTGACAACCCTAATCCTGTAGTCCTATGATGTTAAGGATTGGTGCAAGATTTAAAACATCATTTGAATCTAATATAATAATTTCTATTCTATTTTCTTGATTAATACTTTTAATTGATTATAAATCTTTGTAGACTTATAGTCAATTAACTTTTTTAAAAATAAGAATCATCAAATATATATATATATATATATATATATATATAATATATATATATATATATATAATTGATTAGAAATATTTCAATCCAAAACGAACCGAACACGAACGAACAAATATTTGTTCGTGTTGTTCATGTTCGGCTCGTTAACTTAGTGAACGAGCATAACACGAGTTTCTTAACGAGTCGAACACGAGGTGTTCACGAACGACGAACCGTTTTGACAGTCCTAGTTTTAAGCCCATTATTAATTACAAACTAGAAATATAAAGAGAATCAAAAAGTGCTTTTATTTTTACCCTATAAAAATGATTGAGATGTATGAAATTGAAATCCTTAAATAAGAAGTCCTTGAAACGAACACTTCTTGCTCATTAACAAAAAATTGATTTATATTACTGAGAAGCTCAATGTTATCAGAGAAATAGTGAAGTGGCCAACTAGAACTAGAGGTGATATCCTTAATAGGAAAAAATATTAGCTGAGGTGTGCGTTAGGTGCGGAAAAAAAGCCCTCCCTGTATCTTATCAGAGAAATAGTGAAGTGGCCAACTAGAACTAGAGGTGATATCCTTAATAGGAAAAAATATTAGCTGAGGTGTGCGTTAGGTGCGGAAAAAAAGCCCTCCCTATATCTAGTCTAATTATTAGGTGCGGAGGGCGCCCGCAGAGCTGCGCGCGCCCTCCGATCACAGCCGCACATCGCGGTTGTGTCCCTGCGCGCGCCCTCCGCCCGCAATAATCGCTCCTGTATCTGTGCCGTTCTTTGCATATGCGGAAAAATTGTGACATTTGCCCTATAGCACCAAATTTATCTCTAAGCCACGAAAATAGTAAATCATCAGAATGTCATAATATCCATAGAAATTTAAATGGTAAGCTTTTCGATCTTACATTGTTCCTATCTTTTTTCCCATGAGAAATAGCCTTGCCTAAATATGGCACTGTGCTGCCCATTATGAACCAATCAATAAATTCTTAAATAACATGAACGGACGGCTTTCAAGGCACAAACGAGCTCGAATTAGATTAATCTTCCTTTTGAACGAAGTTAAAAGGATTCGCTGTGAATTTTCCTTCATCCACATCAAAAATCTTTCGCAACTACAAATTTCATCCTGAAAACTTCTCTAAAAAACCAATCTTTTTCAATATCTTGCTTTTATGATCTTTAATTTTTTGCAAATTTTGATCCGAGATCATCCAATATAGTTAAGTTTCCCCACATCCCTGGCCTGAAAAATCTCGTCTTCCCAGTCTAAACTGCTACTCGTCGTCGTCCTCAACTTCGGCGGTGGATCTGCAAAGCTTCCGGCGGCGACGGAAGGAGGAAACCGGGAGCTTGGCTGAGCTCAGGCGAAGCGCTATTCAAAGAGGTATCTTGTGTTTCTTTTAACCATTTGCTATTTGGTTATGTAATAGCTGTATCCATCAAAATTCACCTGGATAAATTTAGGGTAAACTTTCTGTTTCAAACAAGAAAGCTGGTAGGTTAGGTGTACCAAGTTTTGGTCTTTAACTTTTTTCTCGGCTCACCTGGTCGGTAGAGTGTTAGTTAATCGAGTCATGACTTTCAGCTAATTCGAGCTAGCGAAGAGAGCCGGAGAAGCTGTGAGGAACAGTTTACTGCTTGGCTTGGTGCCCTTTGGCTCCTGGATGAGAGCCGTCTTGCTCGAGGGCCTGGTAGCGCAAGCTTTGAGGTCTGTGGGAGTCCGTCAGGTAATTTTTTCATTTCATCCGTTTGGATCTTTAAGTGAAGATCAGCAGAACACAGATTTAGCCCCTGCCCATGTTCCAAGTTTGGATTTTTAAGGTCACTACAGCTTTATTTGTTGATGTGTTCAGTATTCGCCGTTTTGGTTGCAGATTTTGCTCCTTCTTATTGTGATCCGAGGCGGCACAGCTCTGCATTATGAAAGCTGAAGGAAGTATATTCAGGTATTGCGCTAAGATTGTGGGTTGCAAGGAAGTAAATATGGAGTAATTCTTCTTTTTTCTTTCTTTTTGTAAAAAATAGGCGATTCATTGACTGAAGAAGCCCGGGGCTCAATTTACGTTTTCATTCCAACTTCCATGTCAGAGAGAAAGATGCAGGCCACAAGCTCTGAGACCAGAAGGTTCCTCTTTTATCTGGTCTCCCTGTCCATCTTCCTTCTGACCTTTTCCTGCTTCACTCTATGGAGATCAAACGCTACCAATTCCCTAATTCCTGAATCAGTCCTCATGTTGATGCTTGTTAATAACACATCAGTTCTTGGTAACAATGGCGGCAGCTCCAAAACAACTTCCCATCTTGAATCACTTGTTGCACATCCCCCCCTATCAAAAATTCGTGAAGATTTTAAACAAAATTTTCAAAATGAGAATCTTTGTGATCCAAATCAGGCAAAGCTGAAAGTTTTTATGTATGACTTACCTTCCGAGTTTCACTTTGGATTATTGGGTTGGAAGGGGAAGGCTGGTCAGCCATGGCCGGACCTCAGCGACATAAATACTGTGCCAAACTATCCTGGTGGGTTAAATTTACAGCACAGTATGGAATACTGGTTGACCCTCGACCTTCTTGCTTCAGATAATCCAGGTGTGAGCAGACCTTGCACAGCAGTTAGAGTACATGATTCAAGCATTTCTGATGTGATTTTTGTCCCATTCTTCTCCTCTGTGAGCTACAACAGACACTCAAAGCTTTATGGCAAAGAGAAGTTTAGCAGGGATAAGTTCCTGCAGGATAAACTGGTTAAGTTCCTAAGGAACCAGGAGGAATGGAGAAGATCAGGAGGAAGAAATCATTTAATTATGGCTCACCATCCGAACAGCCTTTTAGATGCTCGGAGACAATTGGGTTCTGCAATATTTTTGCTGGCAGATTTTGGAAGATATTCTTATGAAATTGCAAATATTAAAAAGGACATAGTTGCACCTTACAAGCATGTTGTTAATTCGATTGGGAATGATTCGGCTCCGTTTGAAGATCGACCAATATTGGCTTACTTTCAAGGAGCCATTATTAGGAAGGATGTGAGTTGTTAATCTTATTAATAAGTACTTTTTGTCACATTTATTGTTGATGTTATCAATCATTTTGCTGTTTACTTCTATTTGATGTAGAATTCATTCCCATTGTTAAAAGCTTTATTTGGCTTGAATGATTTAGTAGTTTTACGAAGTAGATGTGATGAACTGTAAAAGCCACAAAGAGAATAACACATAAATTTACGTGGAAAACCTTAGAATGAAAAGACCGAGAGCGGAGGAGAAGAAAATTTACTACACTACTAGCAAATTACAAATTGAAGAACTTAATGTTCCGGAGCGGCGGTGGCTCAACTCTCACAAATTCTAATGAGTAGATAACTGTGGAAAGGGCATAAACCATGCTCGCAATCTGTGTACTCTTATGTTGACATTTTGAACTGATTTACTGCTTCTTATAGCACCCATTGTTTTAGGAAGATTTGCACACATACCGCTCAATTCCCATGTATTTACATATCTAACACTTAACTTCAATTTTTACATATATGTTGAAGGAAAAAGTAAAATAGAGAGAGGAAGAAAATAGAGTTATCATTTATATTATAGAATAGGGAACACTATTTGTAGACTTGATACATATGCATACATAGGAAAGGAAGTAACAAATTAAGCTGAAGCGGTCTGAATCGGTTAAGGCGCTTTCTTGCTCTTCGATATTGCCAACAGTCATGTTGGCGTTATTATATGTCACCTTACTTATGCATGAAAGGGCATGTTTTACTTTTTTAAAGTTAAAATGGTGGTATTTTTAATGTTATATGAAATATTTGGATTGTATAAATGTAAGAAGTAAAGTTTAGGTGTTATATATGCATAGGAATTGGTTGGCATGTATGTAGATGCCCCTTTGTTTTATGCTATAATTTATGATGTTGTATGGTACTGTTATCTCTACTGCTATTAAAACTTCTCTGATTTTGTTTTTCCTTCTTAAAATTTTTCTTTTAATGTTTTTTTTTTGTATTTTATATTTCTGCTATTCTGCAGTAGTGCACAGTTTGTGCTGGACATATTTAGGCTTTCTTTTTCATTTGTTTAATTTAGGTTTCATTTGGCATAGTTTATGATGCCTGCTTCTACATATTTAAGTAGTAGAAATAGTTTTAGTTTGGTCTGAAGAATAATCGTGGGAAGAAGTCCAATTAAAAGTTGAAGAACAGCTTTCTTAAGGGTCCATTTGCAATAGATTTTTCACATCTTTGCTTTCCATATAGGGTAAAATGCCAAAATAATCCGCTGAGTATTTATATTGAGTCATTTTAGTTTCAGAGTTTATTAAAGTGTCAATTTTGTCTCAGGCTTTTTAGGGGTTGTTTAGTTGCAAGTAGGATTTAGTTTAAATAGGATTTTTAGTTTAAATAGGATAAATAGGATTTAGTAAATCCTATAAATCTAGATTTATGAAATCTTTAAGGGAGTATGTTAATAATTAAGTCCTAATTAATCCAGTAAAACTGTTTGGTAACTTTAATGGGATTTATCTTCCCCGTGCTTTTGCTTCTCTAAATCCCGTAAATCCGTCTTCCAACGGGATTTGCTAAATACCGGATTTAAGACAAAACAAAGGAAAAATAGGATTTAAGCATAAATCCTGTTTAAATCCTGCTTAAAACTGGCTATCAAACAGTCCCTTAATGTGAGTTAAATAGTTCTCAATGTGGACTCTTTCAGCCATCATTAAAATAATTTGTGGACTAATTTGGCATTTTTATAAACTCTGGAACTAAAATTTTCCCTTGTAAAAAAGCAGGGAACTGTTGTGGCCCTTTATTTAGTTATTTAATGACTTCAGTATTTATATATTCATTAATATTTAGATATTATATTATAATTATATAAAATTTATAATACTAGTCATCTGTGTCATTCAATCAACACATATAAATGATTTTATCAAATAAAAATATGTTTTTTATTGACAATACAATCTTATTATTGTTCACTTTTGTCTCAGGGTGGGATGATCAGACAAGAACTATATCAGCTTTTAAAGGACGAGAAAGATGTACACTTCGCATATGGAACCGTCGCCGGAAATGGCATCAATCGTGCCAGCAAAGGCATGGCTTCATCTAGATTCTGCCTCAACATAGCCGGAGACACTCCCTCATCTAACCGCCTCTTCGATGCCATTGTTAGCCACTGTGTCCCTGTAATCATCAGTGATAAGATCGAGCTCCCCTTCGAAGACATCTTGGATTATTCACAATTCACTATTTTCGTGCGAGCTTCGGACGCCATTAGGGAAGGCTATCTTCTGAATGTGCTCAGAGGGATCAGTAAGGAACAGTGGACGCCAATGTGGAGAAGGTTGAAGGAAGTCGCCCATCATTTTGAATACCAATATCCATCCAAAGATGGAGACGCCGTCGAAATGATTTGGCAAGCGGTTGCTCGAAAGTTGTCGATGGTTCGATTGAGTGTTCATAAGGAGAATCGATTCCGTCGGTCTAGAATCGGAGAATAGAGGTTTGTGATTTAAGGTATTGAATTCATGTACATGTTTAGTATTAGTAATCATAGAATCTTTCTTTTTTTTATGTTGCGTTTTTTTCTTATTTAAATAAAAAAATTGGTTACACAATGTATTGGTTTGACAGATTCAACACAGTGATCTGTATGATTCTTTTTGACTGTAAAAGCTTATAGAACTTGTCAATCATTGCATGAACCAGTCAGTCAATGTATATATATATATAAATATATATGAGAGAGAGAGAGAGAGAGAGAGAGAGAGAGAGAGAGGTGTCAAAATAGTTCCCCGACTATTTATAGGTGGGTCATCCCATACACTTTTAATATGGGCTGAATAGTCTCCCCCTAACTCTTTGTAGAGGGTCATTTTAGTCCCAAAATCTATAATTGTTAATTTAGTTCATATATATTTTTAAATATAGGCTGAAATAGTTCCCCCTTGATTGTTTGTATAGGGTTATTGTAGTCCTAGAGTCTATAAAAGTGCTATCTTAGTTTTCATACACTTTTAACATAGACTGAAATGGTCCGCACGAAAGATTATCTCAGCTCTGATTTAAAAAGTCGGGGACTAATTTGAAGCATTTATAGATTCTTAGACTAAATTGAAGCCATATAAATGGTTACAAAGACTATTTTGACACTTTACTCAATCTCTCTCTCTCTAAGAGCGAGAGAGAAGCAACCATGCATTCAATTCAACATTAGAAGTTTTATAATTGTTATATTTAATTTAGTGAGAATAGATAGTTGTTCATATAATGCTTTTTTTCCGATAAGGTAAGGAACTTAACTACAGGTAATTCTCTACTAAATTTGCCAGGAAAGAGCAAATCATCCTTACACCACATTCTCAGTATCATTTGTTATAAATTTAATTAAAAAAAACAGAAGATTTTGGATACTTCAAAGAACTCTGTACAAATCTCTATTCTTCCAACAAAATAAAGAACAACAAAGTATGAAAGTACAAAATCAAAACCGACAAAATCTCCGAGCTCAAAAATGAAAAAAGCTTATAGAATCCTTAAAACCTTGTAATGTATGCGCATCACCGCCTCACAAAAAACCATCTTCTATGCAATTTCAGCACCTGTTATGGATGGGATCAGATCCTCTTCGAACTCTCCTCTTACTCGTTCTATTTAGATCAAATGATGAAGGTGAAACCTTCGACCCTTTCCTCGAATCAACATTGGCAACCTCTACCTCTTCGAAGTTGCCATGCTCTTTGTTTCTGATGCCATAAGCCTTCTCTGAGTGAAACACCAATAAAAATAAGAAGAACAGAAGTATGAGAAACTTATGAAGGTGAGAGCTCTGCATAGCTTCAGAACTTTGTGAGACACAGCAGAGATGTTGCTTGAAACTAGTTTATATAGGAGGCCTCATACTTATCTGTTATGAACTTTTTGGTCTAAAATCTGAAAGCGTAAAGATCGGGACCCAAAACACCTAGAGGGAGCTTTTAGAATCACCTCCCAATCATTCAAGTTGAGAGCTTTAAGGCTGGCATGGAAGTTTCTGTAACAGCAGGCATGAATAAAGATGTTTTGAACAGGGAAGCTAAGTATCATTCAATACTGATTCTTGTCTCCTTGAACAAACAAGCACTTGGCTTTATGTTCTTCTCTCCTGTAATCTCCATTGTTCCACTTTGAAAATTTCTTGGTAAATTCACATGCCTAGGACGCAATTCTTATGTATTTACTTGTCTCACACCTAAATTTTTATATTTACATGCACAGCTCTTTGGTGCTTTAGACCTATATATGAAAAGGTGTATGTCACTTCTAAAAAATGATAATAGTACTATTTGCTATGTTATATTAAAGATTTCTGTGCTATGAGTGTAAGTATGAAAATTTAGATATGAGATATGTAAATACGAAAGAATTGTGTACTATAAATGTAAATGCCCCAAACCTCTTTATTTGAATCAAACAAATATTGATACATTGGACCATTTACTTGGATTATTGTGCAGAATAAGCTTCTTTGTGCTTTTCTTAGGTATGCCATGGAACATTAGCTGCCACTTTCTTCTATATTTCATGCCTCCCAATCTTCATTCAAAGCTCTAAAGAGAATTCTTAAGATGCTTTCATTTCCTTTTTCTTTTATTGTCTCTCATATAATTCCCTTTTTCTTTAATTCATGCAGACAAACTTGCTTTTTCTTAAGGGATTTTCTTAAATTAATTCAGGACTTGAAATGTAAGAATTTTCTATGCTGCATAATGATTAAAGTGTCAAAATAGTCCCTTAACTATTTACATTTTATAGTTTAGTCCCAGAGTCTATAAAAATGTCAAATTAGTCCCCATACTCTTTAAATTGGTTTTGAAATAGTCTTCTTTGGTCTAAAGTACTCTATAAAATTAATGATAAGAACAATGATGATATTGCTCATATAATCATGAAGAATTGTGTGGAGACTTTACATTATATAGTTTTTATTCTTAAATCTTAATCTTATATTGGTCTAAAGTACTCTATAAATATAATTAATTAATTAATTATGTATTTAATTAATGGTGGAATATGAGGAGGACTGGTCATGTTCCAATACAATGAAACCAACCTCAGATTTGCTACCAATGGTGTGGGCATTCTGCTGCTGCTTTTAAGCTTTGATATTAAAGCAAAAGAGTTTCAGTGCTTGTTGCTGCTTTTCAAGCATAGTTTCTTTTGCCTTTAGTTTAATCTCCAGATTTAAATATTGATTCTATATAGGATTCTTCCAGTATTGCAAAACTATTGGTTGATTTCCTGACTGCCAAGGAAAATCATTGTTGCAGTTAGGTTTCTTGCAATTTTAGAAATGTATGTTTGTAATTTGAAGGGTTGTGCTTGTAATTTAGCCTTTTTGGCTAATATATGTTATAGTTTCACTTTCATTTATGTATCAGTAAGTAAAAACTTACCATGGAAACATTTACTCATGTATTTGAATAGTTGTGGAAATAAGGAAACAGGTGAGTATTGGAGTATTATGTAATTTTCATTATCAATAGTTGATGTTGCGAAGTATTTCCCTTTAATACAACAACAACAACAAAGCCTTAATCCCACTACATGGGGGGTCGGCTACATGAATCCTTTTTCTCCATTGCGTCCTATTTAGTGTAATATTTCCCTTTAATGTGTAATTTTAATTATCAATATTTATGTGTGCCGAAAGTTAAATGTAGTAACATTATGTTGAAGATGTAGGGCTACTGATGATGACCGAAAACTAATAATAAAATGAGCAAAGTGAACACATGCCGAGTAAATTTGCTGGTAATGTGGTCAAGTCATCACCTTTTTTTTGGATTATTTGCATGCATACCATTCAGTTCATATGTATTTACATTAACTTCTCAACTTTGTTTTTTTTACATTCATACCACCCAAATTTTTAATATCACACCTAAATTACAACTGTTTTAACTTTTAAAAAAGTGAAATGTACTTTTTCATGCATAGGTAATGGGGCGTGTAGAGATTAAAGGTTATGAGTTAGATACGTAAATACATAAGAATTTGGTGGTATGTACTTAAATCTTCCAATATTTTAATCAAAGTTTTTACTAAAATGAAATTTAAATTTTAAAGCGGGATAGAAATTCGCAGCGTTAGAGTAATGAATTATCATCTTAGTGTTGCATGAGAATTCAACGCGCTTAGATGAAAGAAAACGATTAGTAGAGGCACTAGAAGTTTCTTACGTTGAATAATATTTGTAAAGTTAAAAAATCACGGGATTTGATCAAGTTGAACAAATCTACTATAAATTGAAGATGACAAGTACAACTCATCGTCCACAGGCGAGAGAGAATTACAAATCTACCGTGTTACAACGTCGATGAGCGGAGGAACTTGTCACAAGAAATGGGCGGCGACCGACAAGTGGTGGTCGATGATAGTTAGTGGCGGTCGACGATGGTAGGAGTGATGCTAGACTTCAACTTTTTTTCAAAGCTTCAAGCTCTTCCTCAGGCCTTAAGCTCTCATTCCCCTCTCAAGCGAGGTGAAAAACACTTTTTATAGAGTTCCGGGTGCAATTAAATGCAGAAATATGAACTATTTTGATCGAACGGTTCAGAGAGATTTCTTTGATCAGCCATCATTTGATGGATATTTGAGTATATTAATGATGCTGAAATTGAGCGATTTTGTGCTTATTGGATTCGTCTTGACGAAATACTCAATTTGATTATAAGCTCATTAGATTCGACATCTATTTGACATTCCAAATATGTCTGGAAACTTTCCAAAAGTTGTTTAGTGTTCTGATCAAGGCTTGATTTAACTCAGATTAAACCAATTTTGGTATCATTAGGTTTGTCTCGTTGAGCTGATCAGTTTGATTGTAAGTTTCCTAAAATCGGACATCCAGATGGTTTTCTTATCAAAGTTTAAACCTTTCTTGCTCAAAAAAGTACATCGAGATCAGTGTCATCCTTGTGGTTTATGCCAAATGATAGATTTGTTGATGACATATCAGTTGTCCCCTATTTTCGTATGATATTAACTTCGTCGTTCGAAAATATCAAAATTTTGCCAATGCGTATGTATATGGATATAAAATTTTACTACACGTTTTTCATTTTTATAAGAATAACTTATATCTTCATATGGCGTAAAAGCATTGCAGCATAGTTGCCATGTATAGGCTTCTTGCTTCGGTTAGGTTGAGCGTTTGAATCTCTTCACAGTAAGAAAATTTTTTTTGAACATGTAAATATAGGAATTTATGTGTAGATTAAATCATAATCATGGGAATTTGAAATGTTTATTAATAAGTTATGTATATGAATCCGATAAAATTCCACCCCATTCCATATAATTCACGTAATCATGTTTGTTCTCCATGAGGCTAGTTTTTTTTAATGGATTGTGGTTTCTTTATTTTTCTTTATGAATTTGAAATGAAGAAGACGGATGTTCATAGAGTTAAAAGTCGAAATCCGAAATGACAAGTGAATTAAAATAAATTTCAATTTCATTAATTACTATTTTAATCCAATTTTAATGGATTAAATTAATTTTTAGCTTTCCTTCTGAGCTGAAGTTGCCCCTTCTGAGATGCTTTTGCCTCACTTCTGGGGTATTGTTACCCAACTTTTGGTTTGTATA